CCCCCCCCTTACTCTGTGCCAAAAGATAGTGCTGGAGAGTAACGGCTACTGAATAGAGGCTCAAAGTCTGTTTCCTATTCGGGGCCACTGGGTAACTGGTTTGCAACACATGTATTTCAGACTAGGCAGGGCTGAAAGGGCAAAGCACCTCACAGGATTTTCACCTAGCTTACAGGAGTAGAGATATTTCTTCTGTATGTCTAGATCACTGTAGATGAGTGCTTTGACTTTTGATTCTAGTTGTGGTCTTAGTTATGCAAACTAAACTTTACACAGCTATGTTAGAAGTTTCTATAAGCAGCTCCTGAAAGTATGCTGCAGTGCTTCTAGAAGCTTGCAAGCCTCCTGAACTGCCATGTATCTCAGTGCTGAGTCCATAGGACAAGTGGATAATAGGCTATTCTGCTAGACTGTCTCTAAATTCTGATCAAATAACAGAGCCATACTCCTGCTGCTTGCTGAGTAGAGACTGCCCTGTGCCTGAGCTCTACAAAGCAATTGTAAGACAGGCCAGTATTGATCATGCATGAAAACACTAGCTTTTTGCTGCTCTTACAATATTCCAAGCTCAATTTTTTCGGTCATGGCTGCTAGGGCTTGAGATAGCTTCCTGTGTGGCAAAATTGGGATGAGCAGTCTGATAACTTCTTGTACCAGAAACACGGGTGGCACAAAAATACATTGCCGCTCTGGAAGACAGCAATATGTATTATTTACTCCTGATATGTGCTTCTTGGTCTTCCCTCAAATAGATACCGATTCCAGAGTATCAGTCTCATGTAATGAGATGGAAGAAGCTTTAAAACTTCAAGGATAGGGTCTAAACCATGAGGTCCTGAACGTGTTTACTGCTCAGGACTCCTGCAAAACTCAACCCACAGCAGAGTGAGTCATCTACTTCCCATACTTGTCTGGATTGCTCAGTCTTTAAGGGATGAGATTACGTCAACAATCCCTCCTCACTTGCAAGTATTCAATCAGTGTATATTATATTTTTTCCTTTAAGTTTCCATCAAACTGAAGTTTAGGGGTTTTATTTCTGACATTGACCTGTACGTTCAGAAAAAAAGTTCAACTTAAGCAGACAATCAACAGTCTGGTCAGTGTCTTGTTCTCCTGACAGGCTTTTCGAGGCACTCTATAGTAGTAGCAAACCAGATTATTTATTGGCTGCTAAACTATACAACAACTTGAATTAAAACCAGCTGTTTCCTTAATAGCACTTCTGAGCTGGATGAGTTCTTGGAGCACCTGTAGATCCCAAGCATGCTCATCCCATGTTAGGACCAAAGGTTAGTAAAATAGAATTCTACCTTTCCTGCTAAATACCCCAAAAAGTAGTAAGTTGCAAGTAATTATTTTGAACCAGCTGAAAGGCAAGGAATACCAAACCTATAAAATGTGTTAAATCTTGCTGTATCTCTGGAACTATGCACTGGAATGTTAGCTGAAGTTGTTCTTTGTTTAAGATTGTTTTCTGATTTTTATTATTTGGTCCCCAGTTAATTCAGCAGCTGGAATTTATTTACTCTGCCAGTCTGAATGGTTAAATAGCTGTTACAGGTATCTTTCATGATGTGGTGTTCTTTGGTATTAATTGTCACTTCCTGATAATATCCTACCTCATTTTTTAATTTTTTCTTATTACCATTTATACACTCCATTTAGCTCACTTCATTTTTAATTAAAGTTAGTTCTTGGTGTTCATTACCATAAATAGTGTTAAGTGGCTTTCTGTTGCTGAACCACACTGAGGTCCTCGTCTCTTTTTTTTTGTTGTTTTTTCCTCTCTAACAAATGATTCTAGGAATTTTGAGAACAATAACATAACCTTTGCAGAGGATGAGGTGTATGGAGAAGTTTCAAATATTATCGATTCAACAGCTGTGACACTGCTTCCTTTCCTTACCTTTTTTCTGCTTTGGAAAGGGACTTGCATGGTTTGAGTTCTTTGGATTTTTTATTAGTCCTCCTTCAGAGGAGGACTAACTTTTTTCTCATTAATAGCTGTGCCTTCTCTAGAGCTACATTAATGTAACTTCTCCACAGAGGCACTTGCTCCTTCAAGTGTATTTGTAATAGTCTCTGCCTGAAGCCAGCTGTTCCCTCTGATTCTTTTTCTTTCAACCATGGAGAGATTTCTTAACTCTTGGCGTGACTTCTCACTGATGAACAATATTGTCATACTGTAAACAGTAGCGTCATCTACTATGAAATGTTGCCTCAGGTAAGGCTGTGTGAATGCTAACTAGTAAAACTATTGCTTAAACTTCACCTTGATTTTTATTTTTTCTCATTGTGTTTTAAAATTATTGTTTTCCCTACTGTTTGGCCGTAAAATGGATCCTGTTGTTTTACTTCACCTTGTTTATTTTTTCTCATTGTGTTTTAAAATTATTGTTTTCCCTACTGTTTGGCCGTAAAATGGATCCTGTTGTTTTACTAAGTATGTGCCAAAACAGAGTGAGTTTTCTGTCCTACCTGCATTCTAACAGTGCATGAAGCAGAACTGGAACTGGACAAGAGTATTGTTTGACTTGGACCTTTCTCCCTCCATCCCTCCAGCTGCAGTGGTAGGTTAATATTAAACTGCTTTGGCAGTATGAAATCCTTCAGAAACCTCATCTCTGAAATCCCTTTTCAAAAGTAGCTGGACTTGAATTGCTGGACCCCAATAGCAAAGGTGAACTTTGTGTGAATTCACGCAAAGAAAGGCTTGATTTAGGATTTCTGGAATTACCCTTCCTCCCTCTTGGTCTCCTTTAAAGGAAGTTTATGGAACAATGGGAGAAATTTTTCTAGAGGAGACTTAATGAGAAGGGGGCTAATGAGCCTGAGTCATCTTTTACGGCTGACAAATGTGTCCATTTAAGTAAGACACTACTCATGGCTTAAACATTGTTCACTCCCATTTTGTAAATGTACAAGCAGGGTTGTGGTTTGGCATCTGAGACCTGCAACTTGATGTAACACTTCCGAATCATGACATTCACTTTGTATGTGGGATTGTTTGAGCAGCTGATCAACAGCACCTCCACCTTAAGCACTGAAGGCTGCTATTGTTTTCTCTGAAAGACTTGTAAGACTGGACACTTAACAGAATAAAAGTTTTAATTTTTAATTTGCATTTTCCTTTTATGTCTGCTTTCTTTTACGTTTTCTGTATGCAAAGGCACTTAGCCTTTCACGATCTCGCTTTTCAGAAGACAGATGTTAATAATCCCAACTATTGTGTAGGATTATTGGGTTTTTTTACGAATCACATGAGTCCTTGTGGATTATGACATTCCTTTATGAATAAGCAAAGAGTAGATGTATGGTGAAAGAGGTCCTGCTCAGTGACAAGCCTGGACCGCCTTATGTATTTCACCATCACTTTAACAAATGGCTGAAACAGTTTACGTTGCCAAATACAAGACTGTTGGGAGTATTGTCTACATAGACCTATAGAAACTCGATTAGGTTTTCAAAATGCATATTGTGCTCTACTTCCCTAGGAAAGGGATAGGGACTGAAGTCAATGGAGAAAACTGCCTGTTGCCGTAGAAACAGTGTCTTCAGCCAACTACTGGTAACAAATTATTTAAGTGTGTTTCCTAGCTGTCTGCCTACCCCATGCACTACTTTTTCAACTGAAAATGCTGGCAGATAGCATCTTTCCTAATTGAGCGTGTTCATGATGTGTTACAGAGAATCGGCCTGTAACTTTCAAAGACAGTTTGGGTTTCTGTGCAGCTCATTTATTGTATAGAAAGGTATTTCTCTTGCGTTTTGCCTTCCCTTGCTTCCTTTGTCCAAGACTAGCTGACCACAGTGACATTGGCCCCACCTCAGTGACAGAACGTGAGCAGGCTGTGAAACAGGTGAGAGGAGGTGGTCCGTGGTGCTGCTTATTGGCACCGATGAGTTTTAATGAAACGCTGAACCAAGAAAGGACAGGACAAAATACCCCTTGTCAGCTAAGGCTCACCCGGACTGCAGCTCCTTTTGGCAAGAATTTACCAGCTCTTTGAATAGCTGAGCAAAAGGAAAGAATGAAAGGTACCATCAAATAAAACTGGTGCTTGCTGGACTCCTGCAGGACTTTAACACAGTGACAGGTAAAGAACTGATCTGTCTTTGTTGGAAAAAGATTTTTAATCCTGGCAATTCCAAATTTTCTACATAGCTCACTGAAGAGCATAGAATAAAGATGCAACAGAGGCAGCTGGAACTATATTGGTTTTATTCCAGTAAAATCTCTAGCCCTACTGCACCACAAGCTTTTTACCTTGCTGATTTTTGAAGAAAGTAACCATCTTGTTTTTACCTGTTGATGACAATGAGAATTCTCTTGATGGAAAATTACTGCATTTCTGAGGCTTCTGATAACTTGAAAGAAAGGACTGCCAATACAGGGAAAACAAAAGTATTCAAGTATCTATGCCACTTCAAATACTAATATACTATTTAATACAATTTAAATACTCATTATGGTTACTGTTGTTCCTGTGCTCCTTGTTTCTCATTAAATATTCTGTCACTTGTTGCTGATCATATCAAAGACTTCAGGAGAGGTGATAAGAGGTCCAGCTGAAATTTTTGCTTACCTAATAACCTTGGCAGTTCCGACAGCAGCAATTTTGGCAAGAGTGTTGAGCTGCTTAAACTGGCTCTGGAGAGCTGGCAAGCTGGCTTGGCTCCAAATGGTTTCAATAGGAACTCTTATTGAGGAGGAAACGAGGATAATCGTGCCAGCCAAAAAGGCATTTGAAACACTTGTGCTTTGTCTGCTGCAGGGTCGTCCACGTTCCAGATGTCACTCACTCCCGTACCTTTTATACGGACATGGGATGGGCTTTGGCAGCCTCCAGTGGAGTTTGCCAGAAGTGCAGTTTTCTTGCAGAGCTGGCAGGAGAAAATGTTGTTTAATAGTCTGCAAAAGAGCTCTCGGAGGGGGAGGAAGGGAAGGAAAAGGGGGTCATTTCCCAGTTTTGTCTGCTTTCTACCTTCCTTATTTAAACTTACTGGAAGAGAAGGTATTTACAAAGATGACATCCTTCTCTCTGACTTTTTTTTGGGCATTATGTGGCGGGGGTGGTTTTCCTCTTGCTGAAAAGGTCTTTCTAAGCCTCAAAATAGGAGCACGTCTGGAGTGGCAAAGAACTGGAAGACTCCTAAGGACAGACACTGGTGAATGCTCCTGTTACCATGATGGGTTGCCTGTCCTAGTTTATGCAATCAGTTATCTTCTGGTACTTGCTCTGTTGTGTGCTGCGGTCTGCTGTTTATATTGCTCAAAACAATCCATAGAACAGGAAAGCTGTGGTTTACTGTCATGCGTATGATCTAAAACAGCTTCTGAAGTCATCACGTGTGCATAAGGTGGGGAGTGGAGAAGATGATGTGCTAAATTGCTGGGGAAAAAAAATGACTGGGAATGAGAAGTACATGACATTACGAATGATGGAGGTAACAGAGGGACTGAGGAGTGGCATGGGAGCGTGTGTAGAAGGCAAGTTTCTCCAGGATTGCTGCCTCCCGGTGAGGGGTGAGGTGGGTCTTCACGAGACCCACTTACAGGCAATAGCTACGGCGGGGGTTTTTTTTTCCACTGGTTACACACCTGCCTTAAAAACACTTCAGCTCCATCAGTTGGTGAGAGTCCTTTAACAGGAAGGAGGAACTACTTGATTATTTTTGAGTTGTGCAGTGTTGGAGGTTGATTGTTTCCCCTCCACGCTTGTAGCCTAGTGATTAAAGTCTCTGGCAAAATTTAGCTTTTTAAACTACCGAATTCATATCCTCTTGTGTGCAGAGAAAAGCTTGAAAATAAGCTGTAAATGCTCAAAAAGAGAAAACACTGATTTCCCTTTTCATTAAAAACCAAAACCAACTTTGAACGAGATGGGGGAGGGATTTTTATCCAGAGTTGATTCCGTTACAGAATAGAGGACTTAATTTTTTCTTTTTTTTTCCCCAAACAACAGCTCTTTAAGATGGCTTTTCAGTTGCTGGCAAATATATTTGAAGTAAACACCTTCCCACGAGCATTTTGCACTCCTTCATTTTGTTGGTGTTTTTTTTTTTGGCTAGGTGAGTGATGCATAAAAACTGCTGCCGTGATGTCATTTCTTTGTGGAGTACTGCTGGAAGGATGTTTCCCCAGGGATTCCTGTGCGATGGGAAGGATGTGTTGGTGGGGAGCGCCACCGCTGGGCTGGCATCTATTCTTCACTCTCTTCTGCCTTCTAGATCTAGTTTCTGCATTTTCTCTCTCTGGTTTGAACTGTGGCTTTGGGTTCACCTATTTACATGCACATTTGGAGCCGCAGGAGAGCGGACCGAGCAAGTGAAGGTGTACATCGCCAAAGAGCAGCTGTGAATGAAAATAACAGATATGTTCTCTATGAATTTTACCGAACCCTTAGTGAAAGCTCTCTAGCTTTAACACCCTTTAATCTGCCATTTGTCATTTCCTGGGTTGCTGGAGTCCCTTTCAGGTGCTGAAGCGCTGGCAGGACTCGTTGACTGAGCAAAAAGGGCTCTGTAGGAGCCTGAATTGTCACTTTAAATTTGTTTCAAAACTTTTAGACCTTTTCATCCCACTTGAATCTTATTTTACCTCCTTTATCTTGTTTTACCACTGTGTTTACCAGCTTAACTGCTCTATTTTTTAATCTGGGTTATTAATTAAAACAGTGATTCCTCCTTGGAGTTAAGTGAATCAAGTTTGTGATCACACTTGAGCAGAACACTTTTGTGCACTTTAAGTAGCACCAAGAGCCAAAGCAAAACTCTGCAGCCCCAAATGTCCCTGCCAGGAACAAATGGCCAGAGATCGCGACAAAATTCCTTGAGAGGCAGCTCCGCTGGCTGTGCAACCCTCCGGCTGCCCAGCGCTTGCTGCTATCACATGCTGTGAAAAGGATCACGTGAAGAGGCGGGGAGTCAGCCCTGCAGAGCCCGGGTGCCATCGTGGTGTTGCTGGTGGGATCCTGGGAGCTTCTGCCTCTGATGGCGTTTGTAACCCAGCATCAGATCCCTCCGGCTCCAGCGCTTGCTGCTATCACATGCTGTGAAAAGGATCACGTGAAGAGGCGGGGAGTCAGCCCTGCAGAGCCCGGGTGCCATCGTGGTGTTGCTGGTGGGATCCTGGGAGCTTCTGCCTCTGATGGCGTTTGTAACCCAGCATCAGATCCAAAAGGTAAGGAACTGCACCCCAGGGAAGGAGCACATCTGTAGTGCAGGCAGGTGACACTACTTGTAAGACACGGTCACTACTAGTTAACCCGTGATTAGGTCTAGCAAAGATCTGCTTTACAACACTTTATATTCTTCTCAGCTTCTTGTATTGCATTCATTTTGAGTGTGAGAGGACCCTGTCGTGTCTACAAACTCTTCCGGAGGGCAACTTGTCCCGCAGAGCTCTTGGAGGAATTTATCTCGTGCCCTTCTGTCTCTGCTGCTCAGCTCTCATCTGTGAAGTCGAAATCTGCCTGTCAAAGGATAATCTCCAGGGTATTCTATATAAAGAAACAGTAATGCTGACAGAGTTCACTTCATTTTGTAAGGGATTGTGTAGTCAACCATGAGAAATCACCCAGGGATTTTTCCCTTAGAGAATACAATGCTTTGCAGCTTATAAAGGAATCTTAAAGGAATCTCATTCTTATTTGGAATCCAGGTATGACTGCTCTGATCACGTTAGCAGGCTTTGTAATTTAATAGTTGCTGGTCACACATCTTAGATAAGGTATCCTTAAGCCACAAAGGCTCTAGCGATGATACCTTCTCTGCTTTGTGGACTGAGGGGTTGAGATATTTTGTTCTTAACTGTATGGAATCTGAGCCTGTTAATGAACTCTCTCTTTTACAATAGAAATCCCTCCTGAAATTAAAAAATCAAGAGCACGTTGTCCCGCTGCAGAGCTGAAGTTGGGATGCTTTTCACACTGAGCTGAGGCACAGTGAAGGGCCAGAACTGTTTTCTCTTGCTTTGTGCTGCTTCCCCTGAGGACTCCGGAGGAGAGCAGTCACCCCGTCTCTTCCAGTTCCGCAAGGATGGCTTCCTCGTCCTAGAGCATTTTTTCACCGCAGAGGAGTGCGACAGCATGAGGAACCAGATTCAGAGAATCATAGCGGAGATGGAAGTGCCACCACACTGCCGCACTGAGTTCTCCACCAAGGAAGAGGAGCAGCTGCAGGCGCAGGTACCGAGAAGGGCAGGGCTGTCCCCGTCAGAGCGCTGGAAGGAGAAAGGTAAAAGGCAAATAGCTGCTTAGGATTCACTCTGGGGGAACATGATTCTTTCTCCTAACTGAACATAACACTGAGAGGCATTTGCTCTCCGGCTTTCTACAAATGTTTGGTGGTGGTCTTATCAGAGGGTGAAGGAGGAGAGGACGCGTGTGGCTCTGCTGTGCTTTCAGCCCCCACAACTATTGCCCCTGGTAGCCGCAAGCAGCTCTCACAGCTCACTTTGTACTTGTTCTGCAGACAGAAAATAGGTTATTTTCCAGGCAGCCAGCAAAAGAAAAGCAAGGGTAGCCTCTATGCGAGAGGTTCTTGTAAAGTCCTAATCAATGCCAAGAGATGTAGTATTGTGGGAAAGCCTTTGTAGGAGTGATTTCTATTGACTGTGTTTTGTTTATGCTGCGGCTTGATGGGGAAAAAGATGCAGGTGAGTATTAATGCTTTGATCAAAGGTTCATTTATGTTTTTACAAGGACACTATCTTTACTGGGCTCTTATCCCTGGCAGGGTAGCTCGGATTATTTCCTAACCAGTGGAGACAAGATTAGATTCTTCTTTGAGAAAGGCGTTTTGGATGAGAGAGGTAAGCTCTGGCCTGAGTTAGCCACAGGGAGGGGACAGGAGAAGGCTGAGTGAGGGGTCAGGGGCCAGTTTCCAGCTCTAGGCACGATTCCTGCTTTGCAAACAATGTTAAATTCTGGTTTTGTTTTGTAGGTAACTTCCTAATCCCAAAGGAGAAATCTGTCAGCAAGATTGGCCACGGTATGTTTAAAGGATGGGGTTTGGAGAGGGATGGACAAAAGGGATGTGGTTTTCAGACGTGAGGACTTCTCCAGACCTACTCACTATAAATAACCTTGGCTATCTGGGTTGAAACCTTTCTGAGCAGAGAAGTGACTTCTTCCCTCTTGTGTTGCTTCTCTGTGCCTCCCGGGGACCACTGCATCAACTATCACAAACCTCACCTCCTCTCGCCATTGTGGCCACGCAGCTCCTGTCTTTCCAACCCCGGGCTGTTTTACTCTGGGTTTCTGCATTAAATTCTTCAACGTGATTTCTACGTGTCAGTCTGCTTTTCCCCACGTTGCTCTGTCACTCTCTCTGCAATTCCCTCCGTGCTGCCCCTCACTCTCTGCGGTCAAAATCTTCTGTTATGATCCTTTTCAAAAAACCCTTCTAGGAGGTTTTTCAGCTATGCATAGCTTAGAGTCACTGACACGTGAAAGTTTGGACTTCAGCCCTTGCCTCTTTCATGTAAGAGATTTCTCTGATAAATTTACCACCTAAGACTGGTCACATTCAGTACAGATCAAACTGTGTCTTCCATGTCCTGTACAGGGCTGGGTTGCCAACGCTGAAGCTGTTCTCCCTCCTTTGGTGTCACCAGCACCTTTTCTTTACCCTTACTGGCTTCAGTTTGACATATTTCCTCTCTCCCAGCTACTGAACTTGCGTTTTGATCCCTTTTGTTTTCGAACAATACATGGAAAAAGAGAGCAGGATTCACTGCATCTCCAAACACATGAACTTTGTTCAGATTAAACTTCACTAAACTTGGAAATTCAGTACTGAGAGTTCTCGGTGCTTTGGTTTTCTCAGAAAAACATTCTCCCTCCCCCAGCCCCCTGCCATTCTGTTATACTTCAGCTTTTCCCTAGGGGAAGTGAAAACTGCAGATGCCTGCTGACTCAGCAACTTAACAATTCAAAAGGCTTCTCTAGACTTATTTTTTGTAGTTACTCCTTTTGGTCGAGTCTTGCCTCATCCCTTGTTCGGGAGCAGCCCCTGCTGGGACCCGGTTGTGTGTCCTCGTGGTGAATTTGGTCACGATGAGACGGAGGCACGATTCCAAGTCTTTGTTTTACGGTTTTGTCAGAGCTGGGCTGTAGCAAGCGTCTGTGCAGAAACAGCTCTGACCTGCAGGCTGTAGCCCTCTGCAAAGGGCACCAAAGATAAGCCCTAGCTCATTTTTGTAGTAATTACTCTTTTGGTAGGTCTTAGGAGCTGTGTTTTTTAAAGGGTGAATTCGCCTATGTGCCTCAGGGTCATGAATAGTGGTTGTCATGTTAGTATTTGCATAATATAATGCTTAATCACGTAATACTCAATTTTTGTTCACTCTGTTATACCCTATTTTTTATATAGCTGCAGTTCGTGGCCAGTGAGTGATTATATTTTTGGTCTCTAAAGAAGATAGTACAAATCTACAAGTGTCGTATCACCTTAGGCGTGATAAGCCCTGTATATTCCGCTCTTGGGAGGAATGAAAGTTTCTGGCTGCGACTTATCTTGCTCGGCTGTCGTCTCTGCAGCTCATCATTGAGAGCTGCCAAGTTCCCTTCTGTTAATGAAATCTTCAGTCTGAGCCTTTTCTTTTCCCTCAGCTTTACATGCTTATGATCCTGTCTTCAAGCAAATCACCCACTCCTCCAAGGTGCAGGTGAGCCGTTACTGTTTCCTAGAATGGTCTGGGGAAAAAAATAAAATATGGAGTAGTTAATTTTCTAGACTCCCAAGGATAGTCATTTTGTCCATAAAAGGAAATTTAAATATCTTCAAAGAATAATGCTTTATAGCGTGCAGAAAACAGCAAACATAAATCTTGGAAAGTTTTCTTGCAGGAATTGGGAAGAAAACTAGGCCTTGAGAGACCAGTAGTTGTGCAAAGCATGTATATCTTCAAGGTACAGTAATTCAAGTCGTCTTGTCACTCAAGAAATAAGACCCTGTTAGGTGGGAAGCCGTGAAACTCTTCTCTTCACACAGCACCTTTCTTTCCTTGCAGCAACCTGGCATTGGTGGTGAAGGTGAGATTTGCATTATCTCTATATCACACTGCAGGTAATACTCCTTTAGGAAAGGAATATTACCAGGAAAAAGGCTCAGAATTAGACTTAAGCCTGTGAGTTTTTGTGGTCCACACCTTCTTAAAATTATTAAAAAGCATCCACATTTTCCAAAAATGTTTCTACGTTGTATGCAACTTGAACAAAGAGCTACTTTTACATTTGCAGCAAGCTGAAAGGTGGTATTTTTATGTAAGACTTAATGTGTATGACAGATGGGGTAGGCAGGGTAGGTCAGCTCAAGAAGTCGGGGAGAACAAGCCTGCCATCCTTCTAGTGGTACTGAATTCCTCCGGCATTAAAAGACCCTAACGACTGTGTCTCCTTGCAGTGACCCCGCACCAGGATGCCACCTTCCTGCACACGGAGCCTCTGGGCAGAATCCTGGGGTTCTGGGTTGCCCTGGAGGATGCCACGCGGGAGAACGGCTGCTTGTGGTTCATTCCTGGCTCTCACACCAGTAAGACTCATAGTAGTTTGGTGCGTGCCGTGAAATGTGCTCCCTCGTCTTGATTGAGGGTGGAGGGTAACATGGACCATGTTACATTCTCTGCATCGTGCAGTGCCTGCAGAAACACTACTATTCTTGTTTGTTGAAAGGACGACTTTATTTACTACAAGGATCTCTCCCTGTGCTGTTGTCAAATCGACAACCACAGTTTTTCAGCAGGTTATTAACTGCTTTACTTTGCTCTTGGCCACCAGTCACATGAGTCTAATACAACATTTCTTTTTTAATAAAAAATAGGTAGTATACATGACTGACACTTGCGTTTAGTTTCAGGTGGATATCTAGCCTAGAAATGAATCCAGGGTACTGGGGCAAGGAAGGACAGTCCTCCTGATTTTTTTTAATTTGCTCCAGAACCTGTTAAGGGGAGGCCCATTAAAACTGCTCCTGACTCTCTTCTTTCCACTTCAGTATTATTTCAGGAGCTTCCCCTGCAAGATTCAGTCTTTCTGCCAGGCCACTGAGATTTAAGACTTTAATGTAAAGACGGTCTTAAGCTACTGGGTCCTTTTTTCCTGTAGTTAAACAGGTCATTGCTATACGTTGGTGCTCCTTCCACAGTTTTGACTTTAGCCTTGAAAATGTTCATCAAGTCTGATCTGGACTGCAAAGAGTAATAATCATCCTCCTTTTGCCTTCCAGAGTAGGAATACACTGAGAAATCACTCTTCCCCCTCCCCCCAACTGTTTCTTTTCCAAGTTGCATCCCCTTCACAAAGATCCCCTTTTTTTGCCCTGGCCAATAAAATGTTTAGCCCTGACAGCCCGATGTAAGCGGAATAAAAATCTTCCTACACACACACACAACTGTCAAATATTGGTCTCAATTTCAGTAAACAAGGAAAGCCTCCAAGTCTATGCAAGGATCACTTGGCCACCGTCCAAGCCATCGGAGAACAGTCAGTGTCCCAGGGGAACACACAGACTAAAACCAGATCAGCAGAGACTCATGTAGTGGCTGTTGTGACCGATGGTAGTTGCTGTGTGCGTAACCACTACTGGATTACCAGCAGAGTCTTCTGGTTTTTTTCACTACCTCTAGGGCACACTAATCAGCTTTAAACTGTTGCTCACCTAAGCGTTCACTCAGTGAGTGTAATCATAGTGCTCTTAAGATTTTTTTTTAAGGTACTCATCCCTCATAAATTCTGGAGTCAGCTGCACTCTGATTGCAACTTATGCTCTTACAGAAAGGAGAAACGGACCAAAGGTTGGCTTTGTGTAAGTGTATGACTACTTGTGTTCCTAAAGGGCTATGTTGCAATGCACAGAAAGAGACAAAGGCAAAGAAAGGCAGTTTTTTATCAGTTTCTGCCACAGCTGGAAAATCCTAAATCTTTGCTCAATGAAAAAAACCTCACCCAAATTACTAAGGAAAAAATTGAGTATACTATAACAAAGTTCCTATCATTGCCAAGAGAAATCACAGATATTGTTCCTCTGCTGTGCAGAATGTAGCTAGCTGTTTAATTTTTTATGTGTGTTTGCTTATTCTGTGGATTTGCAGGTGGAATTACCCGGAGAATGGTCCGTGCAGCTTCAGGTACCTCAACATGCGTAGAGTTTGTAGGGTCAGAGCCGGCCTACGATAACAGCCAGTTCATACCTCTGCCTATAAGTCAAGGTAAAAACAACTCCCCGAACAAGTCTGCTTTATGCCTCAAGAAAAACAAAGAGCTAAAATTGTATTTTAACACTTTCAACTTCGCTTGTATTTTAAAGCTAGCGCTCGCAATTTGAAAAAAGCAGTACGGATGTTTCTTTCAAACAGGTGGACTCATTCTCATCCACGGTGAAGTCGTCCATAAGAGTGAACTGAACAGCTCGGAGTCTTCTCGCCACGCATTCACCTTCCATGTGATGGAAGCCAAAGACACCAGCTGGAGCAAAGAGAACTGGTAAGGTCACCATCCTAACAAGCAGCGGAGGAAACCAGAGGCTTTTCAATGCAAAAGCCAGGATAAACTTCTATTGGTGGTCTTGCATGTCACACAGTTTCTGTTGGTAGTACCTCAGTTAGCACTGATGTCATACCTGTAGAACTGGAATAGCCTCTGAAGTTTTGTTTTTACCTCTTCCTTACTTCCTAGGCTCCAGCCAACTCCTGAACTGCCTTTTCCATCGCTCTACACGTGAAGTTAGTGATTGGCTTCTGGAGTCAATAGCTGATCAATATTCTTTTCTAATCGTTCATTCATGTTCCCTTTAAATACAACTTTCGCTAGATCAGCTCTCAAGGTTAATTTATCCTCTCCTCGGAACGAGGACCATTGACACAGCCGAATACACCTGCGTTAGACAGAAGCTTCTACTACAGCATGAGCCCTACTAGTATGAGAATAGTTGCCCAGTCCTCTTGGTAAGGAGACTTCTTCAGCCTTGAGAATAGACCATTAAAGATCATTGCACCTTGACTGGGAGCAGTTAAGAAGTATTTCTTCTTGCAGATACTCAGTATTTTCTTCTGTTTAAGTCAAGAGCTTGCCTAGTGCATTTCTTGGCTGTGTCGATCCCAGCAATGCAGGTGAACGTGTCATGTGAAGATGGCTGACTTCTACCCTTAGGTCTCCATCCCATTGTTTGAATAGCAGTGATTAGAAATAATCCTATTGTGGGCAAAATGAAGCAGAAGTCTACTTTTATAATCAATCTTCTAAGTATTTCTAGCAAACTGTAGCTGAGTGTTTGATCTCTGGGTGTGCCGATTAAAAAAATTATTGCAGTTCTTAAAGATTCATGTCGAAATTATGAAAACAAAAAACCCAATCAAACTCCTAACGTTTAAATAAAATTAGAAATTCTGATTTTCATCTCCCTCATCTTTTCTTTGAGGAAGACACAGTGTGATCTTCTCCCAACAGATGGGGCCAGCGTTAAGTTATCTGATGACCGGTTTCAACTTTCAATGTGCTCAAGAACAATTACTATCCCCTCAGCACCACCAAACCAACTTATAGCAAGGTGAAACCTAAGGAATGTTAAGAAACAGAAGTTAATCCGAGGCAAGCTCAAGCCTGTATCCTAAACTAAACAGAACTCTGTAGGTGTAACTTCACTGGCCCTGGTGCAGTGGCAACCCTGAGATATGGGCCTGGTATCATCAATGCACTAATTACATCATATAACCTTAAGACTGCTCGGAGTCCTGGCAGAATGAGCCCCAGTTCTTACTGACTCATCCCTTTCAAAAGTATATTGCCTGTCTCTGGCATTCGTTTGATGTGAAATAGTCAAATCTGGTTTCTTTATGGCAAGAAGCTTCCTTTCAGCTCTTTGGGCTTTGCTGGGCAATGCAGAATAGGTTCAGTACAGCAAGGAATTCATCGTAGTGGAGTGATCAGGTGGCCGTAGTAGGAATTGGGAATCTGGGTAATGGCAACAGCAGTAATGTTCGAGTTCAAAGTTTCTGCAGGTACAGCTGCTGCCCTCCCCTACCTCTTCGACAGTTTGTTTGAAAGCTGTGAGCGGGGTGGAGGGGAAGGGACTTTCTTTAACCCTGCTGCTATTTTATGATGTTCGTGGTGAAGGCTGTGGCTCGTGATGGAAGCAGCTAAAGCTTTTTCTGTATCCTTCCATTAGAAGAGTTAATAATTTAGAATAGCACCTTTCTGCTGAGGAGCGATAGTTTGTCCTCTGATTATATGCACCGCTACCTGCAATGTACAAAAACATCTACTTCAAGTGCATAAATAAAAGCAAGAAGCTGGACTGGATTTGCAGGATTTCCTGTTAAATGTGAAGGAAACTCAGTCTAGCACAATTACCGAGTTTGGCTTCCTACAAAGAGTATCTGACAACTTACTGCATTACTAACCAAAACCAACTCTGGACAATTTTGACATCCTCGGCAAAAGCAGCATCAATTCTCAGGAGCCCTGCCCTGAGGGGGCAGGGGGTTAAATTTACCCAGGGGGGTAAATTGGGCAACGGCTGCCTCTCAGCTATTGGAGCCCCGGCTTGTTGCAGGGACAAACAACAGTATCAGATTCTGGGGCCAATTTTGCTGGCTCGGTCTGCTGGCTCAGAGCACTAGTTTCACTCCACCCCTGCTCTTATTCTCACTCCTAAGGCACAGTCTCGGGGCTAGGGCCGCAGGACAGTATTGCGTTAAGGTATCTTGGACTTGCACAAAACTGTCCCCAAAAGTGAATAAAAGTGCCAGAAGTTAACTTCATCCTGCAAACAAGAATCCTGGAATGCAAATCTTCTGCTTGGACGCTTCTCAGGGGAAGGGAAGAGGCAGGGAGGACAGGTGCTAATGTGTCTTCTTCTAGTGGACGCTTGGCAAACTGGCGAGAAGAGATTGTCAACACAGAAGTGCTTAATACACAAAGATTAGGTGGGTTTCTTAGCCACAAAACGGTAGTTATAATTTTAATTAAATGGATGGAATTAAATGACTTTACTCAATTTGTTGATAGGAGCATTTTTATAAATTATTTGATTAAACATCTAGCTGAAAAAATGTGAAAAATAGAAAACAGCAACAGTATTAAAGAAGTTTATTGACTTTAACACATTTTCTGCTTTCATGATTAATGTGTAATTAGTTTTTTTCTGTGACTTTGCTTAGGTTTTTTCCCCTGTATTGAATGTTTATTCCAAATGAATTTAGAGATTAAAATCTTGAAGATAAAACATTTTTTCTCATTGCATAGGTCTCCAGGGTTAAAACTGCAACTCTCCTGTTAGTACTGTTTGGAATAAACAGTCTCTTACACTCTCAAACCTCCTGCACCCGCCCTGGCTAAACTCAGCTCTTACAGCTACTGAATTTGAAGTCGTGTTCATACATCGCAGTGCATTAGTATGGCTCTTGTTGACGATGACCGGATATGTTGGGACAGTCGTATTCGCTTTGTGTAGATGGTGGCCACCCTCATTATAAAACATGCTTTAAATGGTGCTTATACAGAAATGAGGAGTTTGCGTAGGCAGTAATGCAAGACGGCAGGGCTCAGTACAGTAAAACAAGTTTTGGCTCTGATGCAATACTGAGGTGGCAGGATCTGAGAGGTTTGCTTTTTTTTTTTTCTCTCTCATTGACTTACCTCTTCTTCGTCTACCTCCTTTGCCTCTGAGCACCCAGAAGAGACATAAAAACAGCATTTGTGTTTAATAATCCACTTTACAAGTCACGTTTGTGTTCTCATGAGAACATAAATCAACTCATGCTGTTTTAAACAGGGGAAAAAACCAAGACCAAAACAAACCCTTTATTTTAAATAGGTCTTTTTCATTTCTGTTTTTAACAATTTTGTCTGCTGCACCAAAAGCAGTGTTTAGATCAGCTTTGATCTCTCATTACAGTGCATATTCTATTACCACTTTTCTCTAGAAAGGGAGAAACCTCTGTTCCTGGAAGTGCTAAGCCATAAACATTATCTGGAGGTAGAGAGGCAACAGCAGATTATCAATTTGGGTAGTGTAAGCTTCCAAAAGAGAAACTAAACTCACAGATGCCAGAATCCAGGCATAGCTGGAGTTCAGATTCACACTGCTGTCAAAGATCAGAATAAGAGCCACAGCAATGATCTGAGCAAAAATAGCTGTCATTGTCCCTTCAAAGGTCTTCTTTGTTCCTGGCCATTTGATTTCCCCCATTGTACTACCAAAAATGGAGGCAATAGTGTCTCCTACCCCTACGGCCAGTACCCCAGAGTAGGGGACCAGTGCTCCTGCCCCAGACAAGGTACCTTTAGGAGCACAAGATCTGGGGAACAACCATACTGGGAGGGACATGCCAAGGAGGAGATAAATATGAGTCAAGATGAGAGGTCCGCTGTCTCTTTCATCCAAGAAGAGAGACAGCAAATGCCTAAGGGTTTGGCCAAATGGCTTGATCCTGAAGTACCGAATATACTCTAAGAAGATGAACACTGCCAGACACAGTACTGCAGCAACGTAGAGAAGCTGGCGGTCATAAATTAGTCCAGGAACGTAAGTAGCTACAACAATGAAATGGAAATATTTCCTGGTTATAGTCGAGGCCTGGTGTTTTTTAGATTCAGATGATCTCTTAGCATTCTGGTAGAAAACTACGCCACACGCTGAAGCAGCCAAAAGCGTCCAATATACAAGAAGGTAAACTCTTGTCTGTGTCTGAAACAGAAACTGGAGTAGCCAGAACAAAGGGTTCCTCTGGATCAGTCGGTACAGCCAAGGCATGATGACCCCTAAGCCTAGCACTGCTGTCATCATGTGGAAAAACATGGAGGAGATCCACGTACCCGAATCCATGAAAACGAAGAGCACAGTGAAAAAAAGCCCAAGAAGAACAACTCCAACAACTGCTACCAGAAGGAAAAAATCTATGGGATCACCTCTGCCCTCGATTACATTCAGTGAGCGTTTAATGAGCTGATTGAGAACAAAACTTATACCTCCGAGAACTAGCAATGCTTCTCCAGGAGTAAAACATCGAGGCAACAAGTACAGCAAGATCATACTGAGGTAGACAAAAATTAGCAGCACTTCTAGGACCTCTATCACTTCTGAAACAGTCAAAGAGTGCTTCATGGTATAGATAATTATACTGCCAGCAACACCAGTAAGTATGCAAGTGTTGGTTGGCACAGGTTTTGTGATGCCAACCGCTATTACAGACAGAAAGAGAGCAACCAGCATGCCAGTGGAAGCTACAACTATGCCAAAACGTTCAAAGTACACAATGCCAGCAGACTTGCACCTCTCCTTCATCGCTATTCCCAACAAGGGGATGACCATGCTAGCTGGCAGGAGGCCACTGTTCGCTGCTGTACGGAACTGGAATACAGCCCCACCCAGCTGGAGCAGACGGTCCCATTTGAATTGGACATAAAAAGCCTGGATGGCGAGAGCGACAGCGCACCAGGAATACCGGTCCCACACCACTGCGTGCACAAAGAGAACGATGATGAACACGATCAGGGATTCTGCCAGCACTGGCTTGTTTAACATGATTCCAGTCCAACGTGGCTCGAGCTTTCAAAATCTTTCTCAGGAGTCCCAATGTGCTCAATAGTTGCCCATTAGGAAGAATTCCCTTTCATGCTACCGCAATTCCTATTTAAAAAAAAAAAAAGAGCAAATAATTAAAGCAACTACTAGACAAGCTAAAGCTTTCACACAGCTGGTTTGTTCTTAAGCTCAATTTAAACTGATAGTTATGTGCCAATTGTTAATGTCAATGCACAGGTGAATAAAAAAAAAAAATAAAACCAGTGAGGTAATGGATCAGCCAAAACTGTTATCCTCCTCTGAGAATCAGAGAAGTCAGCCTGCAGTGACAGAAATGAACCACTGACTACTGGGGTATTCAGATACAGTTTTAAGTATTTCTGTTGCAATGTCTTTGAACTGAAATGTGAAGCAAACAAGCCATAAGTATTCCCAGAAGGCTTCATTGTGATGGTGTGAATTTGAAACGCAGTTAATTTAAAAGTTTAAAGGTAATTTTAGAACCTAATTTTGTATGCAGTCTTCACTGTATTTTTACAGAATGTTCCTCCTTTTATTAAATATTTCTCCTCCCACTGCTGTGCAAAACCCCCTACGTACCTCTCTCTCCTTCTGTTACTGGTGTTATGATTGAATGCTTCCGCTACTGCAGCAGGTGTTTTACAATGCTATGTAGTATTTACAATAGAAGTAGGAAAGAAAACATCACAATCATTTAAAAAAAAAAAAAAGTTGTCAAATGGCATATTTCATCTAATTTAGATCTATTACCAGAACTGTCAAGATAAGCTAAGCTGAAAATCTGAGCACAGAAAAATCAAATGAACAGAAATCATTTTGCCTGCAGCCACAACAGGATGTTCACCACATCCTTAGCATTAAGCAGCTTAATTTGTTTTGCTTCTACAGCACTGCTGGGTCATTTTTGTTACAAAGATATCTATTCTAAAATATGCTTCTAGTCCATCTTGATATTGGCAATATTCTGTTTAACTCTAGGATGTGTTGCAGCCATATGATTTAACCATTATACAGCTTCATATGTGAGTAAATGAGTCTGACTTATTCTTCTTTATCTTTAAAGAAAGGTATTGGCTTAATTTCTCTTTAACCCATGGCACAGCCTCTTCCCTGTCAGATATCTCGATTCCCATTTTCTGAGTGAGAATGCCACACTCCTATTTTACACAGACTCTAGATCTGTATCAGTAAGTGAAATATTTTAGTCATTAATGACACTAGACAAATATTAGCAAGTCTCATCCCAAAAATGCATCATTACTTTATAAGTGATTTGTTTAACTAACCCCTGGTACGCACTACTTTCCTCAAATTCTTCAAGAGTAAGTAAACCTTGTAATATGTTCTTGATCATGATCTGAAGCTGTCATTGTTGTCTGTATCACTTCACTCCCTTGCCTTACTAACGCTTACTGCATTTACAGCACTTCACCTTCTCTGAATCAAGGCTCACAGCCAATGACAGCTGCATTGCAAACTAATCTTTCCTTTAAACTTTTGGACCATAAGATAAATAGTTGAGATAATCAGCAATGCACATAATGACTCTATTAAGTTAAATCACATCTTATCTTCTTCGAAGTATCGTGGGCATTCAAACATTGTGCAATTCTCACCAGCATTTATTGCTTTCTGGCAACCTTTATTTCTCCTTATCCATAATTTGATATTATGTCTTAGCCATACGTAAGCCAATGCCATTATACTGGTGTCTCTTTTGGGTTCTTTGAAGGTACCTTTCTGTATTTCTGTTGGCAACAAAATGGCTGATCCAGTTCTATGTACCCCTGCTGGATATGATAACTCCAGCTGAAACTTTGGATTGCTTCATCCTTTCTGGCCCACCCTTAAGCCGATTGGTAGTAAACTCTTATTAAATTCTGCTCCCCCAGTCTCATTACTAATGAGACCTCCCTCACGGAAGGTTAGAAGTTTATTTAATCTACATTAGCTCCCTCACGGAAGGTTAGAAGTTTATTTAAAGTCCTGGTTTTGGTTTTCATCTAGTGTTGAATGGTGTCACCAGATTATAAAGCTGATAGAGATCTTAGCAGTAATATTACTGGGTAACTATTAAAGTTTGTACTGTCAAACTCCCTTACGCTGTGGGTCTGGAGCGTTTAGTTATTTATGACTTTGTACTGAAAACTCTTAATTATTAATAGAGTGCTTTTTGACATCTTTATTCACGTAGCCTGAAATACTTGATTGCCAAACAACTTCATTACATTTACTGTTGCTATACAGCTCGATCAGGCCAAGTACACTATTTTTGCCATCAGAATTCATTTTTAAACAGACCAGGAGAAGAATTAATCATACGGTCAATAAAACAGAACTGGCACGGGCAGCATCTACCTACAACCAGTAATGGTTTTGGGGTCCTACTCCTTGTCGTTTCTGAGCACAGGGGAGGGAGAAGCTTAAGGCTTATTTGAGAAGAGGCAGGGGTAAATACCACACGCTAGCCAAAGACTGAAAAAGACGTCCCACTCAGTCTGGCAACTTGAAGGTTGCAGCCCAGCTCTTGCATCAATAACGACACATGACAGCTTCCCCCAGCAGGCAGCCTGCCAGCTTGGCTATAAGACAAGGAAGAATTTCACCGTATGAAACACAGGTCTCCTCCTCTCACGCAGCAGCTTTGAATTTACGACACGATGTATTTCACTGCTGAATTATTTCATTTTCTTCTGCCTGCTGCAGTTCCCTCCGCCACGCCTCCTTTCAGGTAACGCGAAGCTCCTCAGCGCTCCCGCTTTCTCACGCATCGAACGGGACCCATCGCCCCCAGTTTCAAGCCAGACGAAGCGTTTTCTGCCCGTTTCGTGATCCGCATCCCGGCTGCTCTGGGCAGGGAAGCTCTCCCCAGAGCTGCTCCCAAACGCCCGGTAGCCCTCGCCTCGCTGCAACACCTGCCTCCTCCCTCTCTTCCCTCCGTC